AGTTTTTCATTGACATTGTTATTAATCATCATGTCAGCGATCAGAAACACTACCTTGTGTATTTTCAGTCATGCAAATGTGCGTTCTGATACAGCTTTCGGTTGACCACTTGTTCTGAATTTGGGTGTGATTTGGCTCTTTGGTTTGAAAAGGTTGCCGACCCCTTGGTTTGAAAGTGTCGGTTTAGTCCTAATGAGAAGGCGTGGGTCTATGCTGCAGAGAAAGGGAGGGGGTTTAAACACAGAAGCCTAAACATAACGCACTGTCATCCATATTCAGACAGCAGAATAAGTGGCTTGTTTATTGGACACACTGGGCGCACAGAACTGAATCCCATTGTGGCAAGTGCAGAAATGTTGAAACTCAAGCCAGGTACTGAGATAAGTGAATATGGATTTGGGATCTAACTTGTGTGTGCTGTTTATGGACTCTCTCGACTCAAGCATTTGCCCGAAATGGCTGAGTCTAGTATGTGTCACCAGGGACAGAGTCTGGGGAGAATGGGGGTGTGGGAAGGACTAAAGCCCTTCTGAAATGTCTCCAATTACCCTTCTCCCCATGACAGGCTGCAGAACACCTACGTCTTGCTTCGGCTCAGCCCACGGCCAGCAGAGCCACGGAAAGGAAATGGCTGTGGCGGAGCCGGTGACCTTCAAGGAGGTGGCTGTGTATTTCTCTGGGGAGGAATGGGCGCTGCTGGACCCAAGTCAGAGAGCCCTCTACTGGGATGTGATGCAGGAGAATTATGAGGCCGTGAGCTGTCTGGGTAAGGGTTCCTGTCCCCATGGGTATCAAGCTGGGTGGCATCTGGAGCAGCCGGGTTGGGTCTGGTTCAGGGTCCCTCATTGGCCCCTGCTCCCAATGTCAGGACCGAGGTGACCTATGTGTGTCAACTAGGACAGAGTCTGGGGAGAATAGTGGTGTGGAAAGGATTAAAACTCCTTCTGAAATGTCCTCATTTCCCCCTTTCCCCCGACAGGTGGCAGAACACCCATGTCTTTCTCCAGCACAATAAAACTCCTTCTGAAATGTCCTCCTTTCCCCCGACAGGTGGCAGAACACCCATGTCTTTCTCCAGCACAGCCCATGGCTTGCAGAGCCAGGGAAAGAAAATGTCTGTGACGGAGCCAGTGACTTTCGAGGAGGCCATGTCTTTCTCCAGCACAGCCCATGGCTTGCAGAGCCAGGGAAAGAAAATGTCTGTGACGGAGCCAGTGACTTTCGAGGAAGTGGCTGTGTATTTCTCTGGAGAGGAATGGGCTCTGCTGGACCTGGGCCAGAGAGCCTTCTACTGGGATGTGATGCAGGAGAATTACGAGGCTGTGAGCTGGCTGGGTAAGGATTCCTGCCCCCTCCTGTATCTGAAATTGGGT